TCAGGCCATGGAGACTTTGCCCAGTACCACGAGCGTTTTAGACATGAAGATGCGAAGATAGAATGCTCATGTGGGAGCCAAAAAACCCCCCACCACTTCTACTTCTGCCGGAAAGGCCACAAGGCATCCCCACACCCATGGGGAGACCAGCAGGTAGATGAGGTCCTGCGCTCTAAGTCAGGGACAAGAAACTTCCATGAATGGTTGCAGAGGTCTCACTTTTACCACACGATATGCCCCACGCACTAACCAACTCCACTTCAAAACTCTTCATGACTTTCCTCCTAACCCCCTCCTTTTTTTTTCGCCTCCCACCTTCCTCCACAGAATGTGTGCGCCGCTGAACGCGGCCCCAATAATCATAGGCGGGCCCCTATGGGAGAGCCTTTGCCAGTATGTATGATAAAAATTAGCTTAGCTACTAGATAGGCGAGTCCGCTTCGCCCGTCGTATATTCCGCTCCGGGATCTTTGTGGGCACGTGACCAGCGCACGTGCCACTTTTCCGACGTAAAATAGCAACTACTACTACTACTCGTTGGTATACGCTACCACATCTCCTACCACAGAATGGTATACGAAATGGTAGGAAGCGAAGGATATATAAGGACACTCATTCATGTACCTAGTTCTGTTCTTCGCGATTATTCCAGTCAATCAAGCATTGGTTACCTTTCTAGTTCAGACTTGTCAGCACTAAACCAACAACTGAGTATACGTACTCAGTTGGCCTTGTTTCTCTACTTCGTTACCTTATCGATCTTACTTGTCTACGAAGCCTGGCTGGGGCGATATACCAAGCGGTACACCACGAACGGACCTTAGGGGTCACTATCGATATACGACACAAAGGAGGACACTCAGGTGAGTGCCCTACAACTGAGACTCGGCTAACTAGAACCCTAGGTTACGATACGAGAGAAGCCAGGTTGTGACAGTCGGATTGTTGCTGCACGTGAGGGTTATTTCTTACGTTATCGGCCATCCTCATGTGCATATAGATGGTAGGTCATCGATTGCTCAGATAATCAGTTATATATCAGAACGATGATCTGTACATATGACTGCTTGGGGCATATAGGTATATTTGCACGATTCGAGCCCTATATAGTAGTCAACAATGGCTGATTGCTTTCATCTGTTTGGATAGGGCTACAGCCCCTTTGCACATACTAGGTAGCTCGCAGCTGGCAGATTTGCCCTTTCTTTCCCTCATTTTCTTGTCTGCAAGATGTCTACCAGTAAAGTCATTATTGCACGATACCATCACAGGTGGCAAAGCATGGCACTATTGATACACATATTCCCAATCCCTTTTTGCGACGAGTATCAAGACTCGATATCTAGTAGACAAACCAAATCGCATTCATATCTAGACTAGGTATCTTCTCGGCGAGAATCTAGAGTCTGGGTAAGTGAGACGAAATTATCAACATTTGACAAAAGAAATTATCTATACAGTATACTCGTTTGTCCAAGGGCTAGGGCTAGGGCTTGACCATTTGTCCTGATTGCCCGTTGGGAATGTTTGTAGATATTGGTTCGCCAGTAGTCGACTATCAAAACGAGAAAGTACGAATATAGGAATGGAACAATGTTGCACAATGATGTGAAAGTAGCACTATAATGGTATCACACCTCCAAATACTTATCAGCACAAAGGCTTGGACTTCTCATTTCAGTCGTTGCTGTTAGGAACTCTTTGAAAGCTTCGCCCCTTTGTATGGGAATTCGTCTTCGTCTATTGGGGACATCAATGTATAAGACTTTGTCCCGCATATAGAAACTGAACTGTCTCGAGAAAGCTTTAACAACCCAGATTCTATACAGAGCGACTAATTTCTGAGTATGTAGGCGAGGAACAATGGAATAGAAGCTGTCATGCTTCCTGAGTACTTCTTCCACTTGAAAGCCTATCTCAGAACAGTGATTATCCAGTTGGGATACCAGAGCCTGAAAGACGCTCTTTGGCAGGGATGATTGCTGGCCTAAGGTAATAATGATAGCCTTCCTGAAAAGAGGATCATCATCGTCCAATCGGGATATCAGACCCTGAAGGATGTTCTCTGGTAGGGATGACTGCCGGCCTAAAGCACAAATGGCAGCCAATCTGACAAGAGGGTGATCATCGTCCAATCGGGATACCAGAGCCTGAAAGACGTTCTCTGGCAGGGATGACTGCCGGCCTAAAGCATCAATGGCAG